CCGTTGTAAATATTTAATGATCTAAGGAAACGGTTAATGTTATTAATCAATTTATACTCAAATCTGTGATTAATATCTTGCATACGAAAGCAACGAAAGTGTCTGGAAAGTGCATATAATGATATGTTCAGATATAATTTTAAATCCGTAAATGCTAGTCTGATATATCCTTGGTTTACTTTTCGAGGTGACGAAGAGAATTCAAGATTGATACACTCTTTCAACGCAGCTATTACGGAAGGCCCCTTATATCCCAACATAGGATCTCCATGTAAGAATATGGTCCCTGGTGTAGATATCTTGAATTTGTACAAATTCTTCATTTTAAAAAAAAATTCTTACTACTTGGACAATTGACGTGATATCAAATGATAATTCATAGAAATTCAGACTTGCTCTTCAAAAGTGATTCTCTTGTCTGTTGGATCACATCATCTGTTGCATCTTATATACTTATTACTTTTGTAATATATAAATTACAATATAATAAATAAAACTCGGACAATACAAAGGTAACTAATTCCTAATCCACTCGAAAAAAACTTATCAAAAATAACTCTTCGTCTCCTCTATATATTAAGGAAGTCTTGAATTAATTTCTTGACTATCTCAAATTTCTGATATAGATAGCATAAAATTTGTCCTGTAAATAAACAAATAGAAAATAATTTTATGAATGTTTAATAGGAAAAAGAAATAAAAGCTAAACGGTCAGACGAAAAAATTGGAGTTTGGTACGCATGTCTAAGATAGCGGCAAAATTTATTATATCCTAACACGGTATCTTTATATAAGAATACAATTCCTGGTGCGTATATATTGAATCTATACATATCCTTTAAGGATAAGATTTCTAGTATTCAGATGTAAATATCAATTATCGATTCTCGATTATAATAATTCTCGATATTATTTATTAGCGAAATCTATTGCAAATTCTATACTTATTACTTTCAGAATATGTAAGTTGACAATGAATGGTTATAATAATAATAAATCCGCCGCATGAGAGTAATCCGTGATCAAATCGTTATCGAACCTTTATCTATCTTCCATGCATTAAAAGACACTAATAAATTTCAATACTTGTCTTCTCAGTCTTGTCTTTTCCAATTTTGTAATGTTCTTGTCAAGAAAACGCGAATTTCCTTCAGTTCTTTCTGCACATAAATTTGAATCACAAGTTTTTATATTATTCCGTGTATTTGTCATACAGTTTATGAGTATTTTAATGAGAAGAATCGAAAGATTGATCAACTGTTTGCCAAACAATATATGCCACAGAGGTAAGATACATACATGTATTTATAAATCTGAGAAAAAACATTACCTGCGATACAGCAATAAGATCTTTTGCTAAAGAATTCAAAATTTGTTAAGGATCAAAATTCAACAAGAAATTTGATAGATTGAATTTTGTCTTGTCTTCTTTCGTCTCTGACACGTATTAAAATATTTCTACAAGGTTAGTTAAAAGAAAACAACACACAAAGATTTTCGAAGAATTAATTTAACAAACAATAATAAAATGACGTCATCTAAGTAAGAAGATATGTATATGTAATAACTTAGATACTGTTATAGAATTCCGTTTCTTTAATAAAAAAGAATAAATTAAACTTTATTCGTTGTGTGTTTATATCTATTTTCTCATTATTATTAAAATATTTTTAATTCCATTCTGCACAAGCAAATATCTTAAATATCTTAAATATCTTAAAAAAGCCTTTAATTTTGCTTTTTTCTGGATAATAACCGAGAATCATCTCAAAATAATATAATGTTATCGTACTTGATGTATAGAATGTATAGATGTAAAGAAATATATAAAAGTGTAAAGTATCCTCTCAGTAATATATAAATATAATGTATAGAAAAATATTTTAAAATATAATGTAATATATAATGTAATTTAAAATATAATGTAATATATAATGTAATTTAAAATATAATATAATATATAAATATAATGTATAGAAAAGTATACCTTAATACATTAACTAGATATTAAATCTTCATTTATTAAAAAAAAATTGTATTTATCACAAAATTAGTTATGTGATAAGTTTAAATAAATTAAAAAATTTTCTAAAATATGTTTTTTTAATATATTGTTTTATAAGCATGTGTCTAGTGAATAAACATCTTTCGAACTTTCTGTAAATTATTAGGTTTTCAATTTGTCATGATACGAATAACTTGTCGGTATAAAAATCAATAGATCATATGTTCCACATAAAGATATACTCTTATAGATTTCATTCATCATATAATTTATATAATAATAAAATGCATGTGTAAAAAAACTTAATAACTATGTACTAAAAATGAAAAAGATGTATTACTTCATTATTTTATTTCTGTATACATATTACATCATTAACGTGTTAAGCAAAAATAAGATAGTATTTAATAAATGGGATATAACCAATACATTACACAAAAGCACAATATCAAAACTAATTCTCGTTATAATATTATACTCATTTCATAATTCTTCTATTAAGAGAATAAACGTACTAACTCCATCATAAGAAACGTTCAATCCTAATCCCATCACAAGACATAGTTGTTTCAATAACACGATAATTGTAGAATTCGAGTTCATTTTTTAATAGAGAAATGTCATGATCCATGATATGTGGTAATGCGAAAATAAGCGCGAATCTACCAGTACCTGTCATCTTGCACCCGAATAAATATTTTCGCGCAATTGCACAAATGAAATCTATATTTTGATTTGACAAACCTCTTGCTTTCAGTACATCTTGAGTCATATTAATGAAATCCTGAAAGTACATATTAAAAGATAAATAAAGTTTAAGTCAACTTTATAGTTTAAAATAATAATCACATGCAAGCACAAATAAGTGATATGAAAATGCACATTATTTAACCTACCAATATCTTCACGTAACTATCCAGCGATAACAGGCCAGTCAAATTGGTATCATTTTTTCTTGATCTTCCTTCCTGAACACACGCTCGATCGCTTCAAAAGACTTATCCAATGCAGCATGAATGATAATTGAATCTATATATTGATCTAAATTCTTCCATTCTAATCGATCAAATCTTCTTTGCCGATTTATATTCGAGTCAACAATCAGGATCCTAATGGGCTCTATTTTATGCAACGTAAACTTATCAATTTCATCTTTGTACATCATCATGTCGCCATATATAGATATGAAATTGTTGATCGTATTCTTGCAGTTGTACACGATCTTCTCACAGCACCAAACGTGACGTCTGATTTCCGTACAATCTTGGCTATCAAATGTATAACGAACAATCTTTTTCTGCAAAAGGGACCAACGCCAAAAGCATGCCGCGAGGCACACCATAAAGGATGTTGTACTTCCCAAATTCTTTGCGAGTGGCAAATCCGTCGACAGTCTCACGAAAAAAGAAGCTGTTATTTTTATATCTTCTTCGTAAGCTATACGAAGAAACAAATATAAAAACGATTCTAAAAATAAATTCCATAGTTCCTTTATGGTTTTGCAAACTTTGCTGTCGAAAATATTTAACGATTTAATGAAGTCTTTTATCGTATTCATTAGATTTTCACACGAAAATTCGCGAACGACACGTTTCTCACAAAAGCATTTATAAATAGCTTCTAAGGGTATCTTCAAATATAATTTTAAATTTATAAATTCTATTGTGATAATTTTTTTCTGGTACTGCTTTTGGAAACGGTGAAGAGAATTTAAGCGTGGTACGTATGTCTAAGCTAGCTGCTATGCAAGGTTTATTATATTCAACTACTTCCAACTTGGGATCTCCGTATAAGAATACTGTGCCCGGCGCCGATTATTTTAAAATTGTACATTTTTTTCAAACAACAAAAATCCTGTGTTCCAATAACTGACGTAGTATTAGGTGGTGATTATGAAAAATTATAATAATAGTTATCATTCAAAGATGATGACTCCTGACCTGAAAATAGTTCACTGAAATGAAAAGATCTGCTGCAGCTTATGTATGTATAATTTTCATGATACATATACAACACAATGAATAAATCGATCTGAATTATATCTGAATGCATAAAATCTGAATGTCTTACTAATTCGTGACCAATTTTTTATCGATCACTTGACTATCTTTTATGTGTTCAAGAAATCGAATAAATTTTGATAATTATCTTCTCCATTGTTCCAATTTTTTGATTTTTTTTGATAACACAATGCGAATTTTCTTTAAGTCTCCGTATAACAAACATGCATAATATATTTTCACTTATTGAAAATTTTTATCACAAATGTACGAAGTTCAATGAGAAAAAACATAAGCTTGACTTATTATTGAACCAAAATATGCTGCTCGAACAGAATACATATATTTATAAGAATTAAAAATAATACCTGCGATACTGCAGTTAGGGTTTGTCTTGAAAGAAATCAAAAATTGATTGATCAAAATTCAACTTGGAAATATGATAAATTAGATTATTCTGTTTGAATGTTTCTTCTTCTCTTCTGTGTTATAAATAAAATTTTCACATGAGTAGTTAAAAGAAAACAACGATTTTTTTCAACGAGTTTAACAAACAATAATAAAATGACACATCTAAAGCGAAAAGATATATAAACATATATATCGAATTACTTTCTGATATCGTTATAGAATTCTCTTTGACGAGGAAATTATTAATAAATAAATTAGACTTCAATTATTAAATTAACAAATAAATTAGATTTTAATTGTTATAATTTATTCATGTCTATTTTTTTATTATTAGTCAAAAAAATATTTTTAATTTTATTTTGCACAAAAAAATATCTTACCAATGTTTTTTTATTTTTGGACAATAATCGAGAATCATCTTAAAATGAAATAATACTTGTATTCGTCTTAATGTATGTAAAAAAAATGTATATACACATATATATATATATATATATGTATAATATGTAAAATCCTCAATACAAATATATAGATGAAAAGTATCTTATTTCTTAATACATTAATTATATATATTATATATATTGAAACTTCATTTTCTAACAAATTATTTGTATTTATCATGTATTAATTTTTTAATAATAAAGTTTAAAATATATGTTTCTGAAAATATATGTTTGATATGATTTTCTAATGAATAAACATCTTTCGTTTTTTTATGAACTGTATAGCTATTTATGAATAGCTTTTTAAGTTGTCATAATAAGAACTTGTTAAAAAAATAAAAAAATTAATAGATTATATGTTCCATGTAAAAATGTACTACTTTTACAGATTTATTTCATAATATTCGTACAATAGCATGTGTTTAGAAAAATTTAATAATTATGTATTGAATATAAAAAAGATGTACTGGTTCATTATTTTATTTCTGTACACATACTACATCATTAACGTGTTAAGTAAAAATAAAACAGTATTTAATAAATGGGATATAACTAAGACATTATAGAAAAGCGCAATATCAAAAATAATTCATGTTCTAATATTATACTCATTTCATAATTCTTCTATTAAAAGAATAAACCTAATGTATTATTCAATTCTAATTCCATCACAAAGCATTGTTGTTTCAATAACACGATAATTGTAGGATTCAAGTTCATTTTTCAACTGAGAAATGATAAGATCCATACAAAAAGACAGTGATGCGAAAATAAACACGTATCCACCAGTACCTGTCATCTTACACTCTAATGAATACTTTCGCGCAATTTCACAAATAAACTCTATATTTTGATTTGATAAGCCTCCTGCTTTCAATATATTTTGATTGATATTAATAAAATTCTGAAAGCACGTGTTGAAAGTTAAATAAAGTTTATAACAGCCAACTTTATATTTTAAAATAATAATCACATTCAAGCACGTATATAGCATAAATAAGTGATAAATAAGTGAAAATGAGCATTATTTAACCTACCAATATGGTCTTTATATGGTAACTCTTTAGCCCTAACGGGTCAGCCAAATTGGTGTCATTTCTTTTTCGATTTTCCTTTCTGAACTCTTGAAAAATCTGTTCGATCGCTTCAAAAGACTTATCCAATGCAGCACGAGTGATGATTGGATCTGCATATTGACTTAAATTCTTCATCTCTTTTAATTGATCAATTTTTATTTCCTTTATATTCGAGTCAACAATCAGGATCCTAATGGGCTCTATTTTATGCAACGTAAACTTATCAATTTCATCTTTGTACATCACCATGACGCCATATACGGATATGAAATTGTTGATCATATTCTTGAAGTTGTACACGATCTTCTCGCAACGCCAAACATAACGCCTGATTTTTATGCAGTCTTGGCTATCAAATGTGTTACGAGCAATCCCTTTCTGCAAAAGCGACCAACGCCAAAAGCACGCTGCGAGGCATACTATAAAGGATGTTGTAGTTCCCAAGCCCTTTGCGATCGGCAAATCCGTCGACAGTTTCATGATAACAGAAGCTGTTATTTTGATATTTTCTTCGTAGGCCATATGAAGAAGCAGATATAAAAATGATTTTAAAAATGAATTCTGTACTTCGTTCGTGGGGTCGTAAGTGTTGTCGGGAATATTTAATGATTTAATGAACTCTTCTATCGTATTCATTAGATTTTCACACGAAAATTCGCGAACGCCATTTTGGTCATAAAAGCATTTGTAAATAGCTTCTAAGGGTATCTCCAAATATAATTTTAAATTTTTAAATTTTATTCTGATAGTTTCGTTTGATTCTACTCCTGAAGACGGTGAAGAACCTTGAATGAATTCAAGCTTGGTACGTATATCTAAGCCAGCTGCTAAGCAAGATTTATTATATTCAATTATTTCCAACTTGGGACCTCCGTATAAGAATACTATGCCTGGCGCCGATACTTTAAACTCGTACATTTTTTTCAAAGAACAAAAATTCTAATGTTCCAATAACTGACATAGTATTAGGTGGTGATTATGAAAAATTAGTTATCATTCAAGGGTGACTCTCGAAAATAGTTCACTGAAACGAGAAGATCTGCTGCAATTTATATATAATTTTCATGATATATAATTATAAGTATAATTATCATGATATATAAATTTACAATACAATGATTAAAAATCTGCACAAACTCTGAATGCATTACTAATTCGTGACCAATTCTTTGTCGATCACTTGATTATCTTTTATATATTTATAAGAAATCTAATAAATTTTAATAATCTTCTCGGCTATTCTAATTTTTTAACTTTCTTGATAACACAATACGAATTTTTTTTGTTTCGTGTAACAAACCTACATATTTTCAATTATTGAAAAATTTTTTAT